CCATGTATGCGTGCATGGATCGCCTTAAAAATCTTTTCAGTATTGTTAAGGGTCGAGTCATCTAACCCCTCTAGTGCAGCTGTGTCTGCCTCCCTACCCTCTAGTCTGACGCTCCTGTCTCTAATCTCTTTCTCTCTTTTAGTAGCTTGTTTAAGTTCCTCCTCTAGCCTCAAACAAATCCTTTCTACCTGCTGGAGCTCCATCTGCTCCCGGGTGCGTGGAGGCGGTGAGCTGAACTGCAAGCCCGCCATCTGACTAGTGCCAGCTCCTGACGTACTGGAGATGGACTGTGAACTGGTCGCGTCGAGTGGCATGCCCAAGCTCTGACCAGTAGAGTTTGCAGCAGAAGTGGCTGAAGAGGTAGCCATTGCTACTGCGCTAGCTGCTGCTGCTGCCTCTCTCGCAGTCTCTAGGTTACGGGCCCTTGCTTCGGCCCTAAGTCTTCTCTCGTCTCCTGGTAGTAGAACCTGGAACACTACGGGTATCCTACTGGTCCCCCGTCGTGTCTGCCTCCTATCGTGAGATGTATCTTCACCACCCTCTGATTCACTCATGGGCTAGGCAGACGCTGTCTGCACTAATGTCCTCTCTGGGACCTGCAGCAGCATGCGTCTGACCGGTTCTAATAATAATTAACATAAACTGATATCCGACGAGTTACCTAGGCTACCGGTCAAGCGGCATCAACAGTATCGACACAGACTGTACACAAATAGTCTACTTCCATTCCGATTAGTTCTGTTCAGAAGCATTGAGAAGAACTGACTATGGTAGATTACAGTCCTACTCTAGGCTGTCTGTTAGGTGTTAGCAGACTGTCAACCAACTAATCAAGATAAAACTAGACTACTGTGAGCAGATGTATGCACAATGGATTTGACAGTGTATTACAGCTGAGTTCACAATTGGAATCCCCTTCCCCTGTATCCAACGTACCTATGAGCATCATCAAGCTGCGGTGTCTAAGGTGTGCATTCACGGCCCACCCCTGTGCCCAAGACGTATGCTTATGACCAGCCTGCCCGTTGTTTACCCTCGCGTGCAACGAGCCTTACATCCGACTGATCTGGCTGATCAAGAGGCAATTTAAGGACAGCCCCGGGAGTCCTCAGGCATTATTTAACATTGCAATCAGGACGACGATCACAGCCAGTGGACAGTTCAGGCCCCAACCAGAAATGTTTATAGATGGTCTGGGAGTGTCTGTACCAGAAATATTTATAGACAGACTGGGAGCGTCTGCATTATTACTGGTCAGTCCGCACATCCCTTCTATCAGCGCAGCAAAGAGCCTCAATGGACAAAGCAGCACAAAGAGCCTCAATCGACAAAGCAGCATAGCCTGTGTGTACTACTCCCATGGGTTGGCATGGTGACCATGACCCGTGCTTCGAGCAGGGCCCTTCAGAGACACCGCCCTCTCCTGCAAGATGGGCCACTGGGAAGAATGTTGTCTCTCAAGATAGAGCGCACACGACTCCTTACCAAAGAGAGGACACTCAAGTTGGACTCACTTCCTCACAGTAAGAAGAGATTGAGAGGGTAGATAAGGAATGGGAACAACGTACCTGGAGATAGCTGCCCCCAACCACAGATTTCTCACCAATTGGGCTGACGTGCTTTTCGATGACCAGTCAATAGCCTCGGTACGACCCACAACGCAATGCAGTGCCACCTCAGCCAAAATGCCACGTCAGCATACTCTCATCATCATACATACACCTGCTGTCGCCACAGTCTTCCAGCGGCCGGCCCCTCTACCTGGGCCCCGCTCATACAAACCAGCGCCAAAGTATCCTTACTGCACATGAAGCATCGTGAGCGCACCAAGTAACAATGTCGCCGGTGCCAGGTAAACGGCGATCACGAACCAGCTCCGATACTAAATTGCAAGGAATATGAGTGTGCACGATACACAGAAAACCAAGTTGCGAAATCACACGGATGTCCAAGTAGTTGTGTCCAAGCAGAGAGTACAAATGCACCGAGAAACCATCCATATAGAGCAATACAATGAAGTAATGAGCCATTGCGGCTAATGCTCCTAACATCATGGAAGCAAAACTGCGGAAAAAGAAGATCGTTTGCCATGCTGGATCATGAAAACTAAGTACAAACACAAGGATTGACACTGAATGGATTTACGGTCAACCACGGCAGTTCTCAGAATTGAGTCAGCAGCTCTACAGTTTACAAGCCACACGCACACACACCCAGGCACACACACATGAGCACACACACAAGCACATGAGCACACGCCTTGAGTTATTGCAAGTCCCATTCCCAAATACTTCTTTCGGCCGAGCCTCATCTGGACCTCTGAAAAATGCAGTGTATGTCATATTCCCATTTTCTCCAGCACTGAGAAAGGTAGTGGTGGTTTAAGCTTTAAACAGCTCGTAAGCCCAAATACCTTTCTCAGTGCTGGAGAAAATGGGAATATGACATACACTGCATTTTTCAGAGGTCCAGAGGAGGCTCGGCCGAAAGAAGTATTTGGGCCCTATGGGCCTGCAGATACAACAACAACAACAAAAAAGAGACTTATCCGGCGTCAGGGAAGGTTGTGCACACACCAATACTTCCAGTTCATCATCGGCGTCATGTATGTAACTAGTAATGTGGATAGTTTCAGGTTGTCTGCTTTGTGTTTTTGTTTTTCTCAGCTCTTGTGACACGTTTTTCTCAGCCATCAGACGCTGTGAGGCGAGTTTGAAAAAAAAAACAAAACAAAAAAAAAAAACAGCGTAATAATGCGAGATTGTCAATACAGGTACAACACTTGTTGAGACGTCCATCACATTTGCAAGCCTGAAACATGCGGCAATACATGTTTTCCAAGTTTTTCAAGTTTGGGTAACGTTTTGCCCATTTCATGATTTCTCAGCCATCGGACGTTGTGAGGCGAGCTAAGGAAGCTTGTATCAAAAAAACAACAAAAAAAAGATAATGCAAGACTGTCACTACAGGCAAAGCACTCGTTGTACTGGTATTGATAAAACGAAAAGATATGCAGCATATTTTACTAGTGCAGACAGATAAAGCACTTGTTGTACTGGTATTGCTAAAAACGGAAAGATATGGTCATATTTTACTACCATCTTCATCCGAATAGAACGCCTGGTCATTGCAGCCGTATTTGGTGCACTTTTCAGTCCAGATACAGCTACAATAACCGGGCGTTCTATTCGGGTGAAGGCGGTAGTATAGAAGAATTGCAGGCTGGAGTTCAGGTCCACAAATTCGACCAATATATTTTGCCTGGGCAGTGACCTGTACAATTGCAGTCTAAGAACTCTGCACTGTTCTGAGGAAATTATGCCCTTTTGACGTTTTGAAACTTTTGATCCTATTGCTGAGCATTCCGAGTCTGAGTCTGTGTTTTGCTGTGTTTTGACTTTTCAGTGTGTAATACTGTGTATGTGATCATCCGCGGATGTATGTATGCTGTGTGCTTGCCTGTGCCCAAATCTGAGTCTGTGCGCTAGCTCTCTTGGCCGTACTGTGGGGCTGTTCCTCGGACAGGGACAAAAGTAGTGATCGAGGTAGGACCAGGGGCACAAAGGGACACATTGGGGGCGAAAGAGCGTCCAGGGATAAGAGTAGGATTTGTTAGAGGCCCGGTAGGGATTTTCCAGCAAGTTGGTTAGGCATGGAAGGCTCTGGTGGATGTCCAGTAGGTAATGATGCTTGAGAGCCTGAATGCAGGCTGGTCGAAGTCTAGGTTCAGGGTCTGTAGGTAGATATCCGTCTGCAGTGATGTTCCCGCAAAATGCAGGAACGCCTGGTAGACCGAGTGCACCCAAGGGAGGCCAGGTAGAGGCAGGTAGTGCCCAGCCAAGAGGTACTGGAGGTCAGGCAGCCAAAATATAGCATTCTGTGCAATGAGCACTAGGTCGTTCACCAAGTAGTCATGCTGCTGCTCCGCCCAGAGGGAGAGGTTGGAGGAGCTCCTGGAGAGGAAGGTGGAGCTTGAGAGTGAAGGAGATGGAGTAGTAGTAGGGAGAGGTAGGAGAAGCCCTAGACTATGGAGGTAGAGGAAGAAGGCCTTCGGGCCACGTCGTGGTGATGGAGAGAGGTTGAAGGAGGGAGAAGGTGGTGGGGACTGGCAAGGAGACCTACCTTTGGCTATGGTGGACTTACACCTTCATCTCCCTGGTTTCGGCATTGCATCAAGGAGGTCCCTGTTCGCGTACCAGTTGGACATGAACTTCATCCGGAGGTTGGACATGGTGGTAGATGAGAGGAGAGGGCACAAGAGCTGTTGCATTGTCCTTTGAACATCCGAGATAGCTCAGGATGTGCTGTGATAGCTAGTAGCCATAGGTCGTAGAGGAGAGAGACGGAGTGAGCTAAGGGAGAGCTCCTTCAAGTCTGGCAGTAAGGGGGCCAACTGTACATTGATTTTTGTTCATTCATTCATTCATTCATTATGATTGTTATTATTATGAATAAAGAGGTGGAGGTGACGATGGGGGGAGAGATGATGCTGGCGAGATATGGAGGGGGATGATATTGGTTCCAACGTGTGTCCTTCTTCTTCTTCTTCGCCTGCGGCCTCAACTCATTCTTCTTCTCTCCTCAACTCATTCCTCTTCTATTCGAGTTGTGTTGGATCAACTTGGATGGCATTGTCTAACATCTGAGATCTGAGTTTTGCAACATGAAATGGACAGGATCATAGCACCCGGAATATCTCATTTTCAATGATAGAAGAGATAGTTGAGGGCCTTTGAGCTTGCTTCCCCCCCCCCCCCCCCCCCCCCCCCCCCCCCCCCCCCCCCCCCCCCCCCCCCCCCCCCCCCCCCCCCCCCCGCGTCCCCACCCCCCCTTCCCCMCCCCCGCACAGTTGAAGGGGCTAGTGCCCGATGGCATTGTATCTGAAACAGGACTCAAGAGTCAAGAGTCAAAAGTTGACTTTTTTTATCGACAGCTTCAAGTATGATGTTGAACACCGTATACTGTTTGTAATTTGGCTGGGGAATGGGATGCCTTGGTAGGGATTTCGGCTCGATATTTTCTACGCTGTTGCCAGGCACTAATGCAAAGCTGGATCCCCCTGAAGGTGGTGATTTCATGGATGGGCTGGAGGTGAAAGTGGCATTCGGAACTGTTTGGAAACAGTCTCTCTCAGAACTGAGTGGAGGCCAGCGCTCCTTGCTTGCCTTGTCGCTCATTCTAGCTCTGCTTTTGTTCAAGCCAGCTCCCTTGTATATTCTCGACGAGGTGAGTAAACCAGCTTTTACCAATGCCTCAGAGAGTCAGAGGCGTGACTTGTCACTCCCTTTGTTAGTCCTCGCACTCTCAAAATGCTCAACCCGTGACAACTGTCTTGCCAACCTCTCTGTGACTTCCATCCTGCTCCCGGTGAACTTTCCTGCTTTGAACTTAATTCAATTTCATTTGGTCTGGGATTGAAGTGAGTCCTTGGTTCTGGCATTGCCTGGCAATTCATCTCTTTGGGCATAAATGGACCTTTCCATAGAATGGTTCCTTGTCCCACTCTGTCGTTGGCCAGGAGCAGAGTATGGAATACTAGCCTGAGGGAGTCATAGAGACTTTTAGACCGTACGCCAGGGAAAGCTCGGCCAGGGGTTTTTTTTCTCGTTTTGGTCGTCTGATTGCCTGGGTTCGAACTTGGGTCTGTATTTCAACAGTTCATGAGTGTACCAACTGAGCCAGGATGCTAGTTTGTATACTTCTAAGTTCTAACGGCATATTCTGGCACTAGTCCCTGAAAATCGCAAAATGGCAAAATCAGCGGCCAGATCGACTCCCTCGAAAAGGAGGACTGGATCTGGCCGCTCGTTTTATGGTCGACGAAGACTTGTGCACGATCGTGTGGCGTGTAATGTGATGCTTGCGATTGCGGATGCATGTATTTTACTCACCCTAGTGCGAGTATGCTCTAACTGTTGTGGGAGTTGCGGCAGGCTTGGAATGATATCACGACAGGTATGGTTCCATTTTTGAACACTGTGTCCTGGCTGTAGTGGTTAAGATAACTGGCTCTTGAGGCTGAGGTTGCCGGTTCGAATCCGTGCTTGCGTGGTGGAGGATGCCAGGCTCATGCTGGGATGGGTAGCGCCTTCCTGTAGCCTCAGCTGTTGGGGAGCTAGATGTGCAGATTCACTTAGCTGCTGCTGAGAGCTCGGAGTTCGCTTTATCGATGCTTGGCTTCTGGGTTGTCATTTATTTCTTCTCTTCTGGTGAACTCTTGTGTCCTACACACATTCTGAGGAGTTGTCTTGATATCCGCTGTTCATTTTGGTCTGCTGCTATCATGATGTTTTTTTATTGGTCAGGTACTCAGTTATGTTTTGCGCTTTGTGGATGTGTGTCAGCATCCAAGTTCCATCAACCAATAACCAACAGGAGGGAGAATAAGAACAGAGGGTCGGGGGTGGGGGGGTGGGGGGGAACTCAACAGAAAGGACTGTGGAGTGCTGGCTGTTGGTCTATAGAATACGCCGTCATGGCCGGCTGATCTGTGTCACCAACAGTCATGATAAGTGAAATGATTTCAGAAAGGGATGGTGTATATATCAGGACTTGGCAGCGCCGACTTGTTGGCTATCATATTACTGTAGTGGCATAGTGTACACATCAGTTTTGTTTTGTGACGCGGAACAAGTGGGGCCCATTTTGAAGTTAGCATTTCAGGGCCGTTTATGCATGTCTTATATCTCCACAATCGTGTGAATGCAAAAAAAAAGGAGTGGTATGTCAGTGATTTATATCATGTATGTTTCAAGGTTATTCTTTTACCTAAATTGAACAGCAGGCCTCGCGTGACGCCCCCCGCCAGACCCAGCAGAAATCGGGGGCGGGTGGAACCGTCGGGGCACCTGCAGTGCTGCTTGGGCTCAGGTTGGGTTCATGCACGGAGCGCTGACGATCTCAAGGCTTCGATGTTGGGAAGTGTCACGCGTTACATAGTCGGGCCGTGTGGGTGTAGGTTCGCGTTTGTGTGTTTGTTTGTTTTTTTTGGGCTCGTTTTGCGGGTGTAGATTTGTTTTCCTTTTTTGTCGTTTAGCGTCACATGTTTCCCCCACGTTCGAATACAAGTACATAGCCGGGCTGAAGTACACGGCCGGGCTGTGTGGGTGTAGATTCGTGTGTTTTTTTGTTGTCGTTTTGCAGACGTAGAATCGTTTTCTTATTTTTGTCGTTCGCAGGTGTAGATTCGTTTTCTTTTCTGGGCGTTTTGTGGCTGGCACTGTGAGGCCCATTTAAAATACAAAGGGCCTCTCACCACATGCACGAAAGACAAAAAATATGGCGGTGTGTCTTTCCATGTTTTTGCAGAAGATTCGTTCTCATTTTGGCAGCGTGTGTGGGTGTAGGTGCGTTTTTTCTTTGCTCTTTTGTGGGTGTGGAATTGTTTTTTTTCTTGAAGTAGAGCGAGGGGCTTATACTACAACCGTCTGCCCCACATATCACATGGAGGATTCGAGATCCGCCGGTCAACATTTCGGGTTTTCAGCAAGGAGGACACAAGGGGGGAAGAGGAAGAGGGGGAGGGGGAGAAGGAGGACGGGGAGGAGGGACACGAGGAGGAGGAGAGGCAGCAACAGGGCCAAAATGGGGCTGAGCAGGAGAGGGAGCAGGATATGTGATCGAAGAGGAGACCAATGAGGTGACGAATGAGGAGCAAGTGGGCGAGGGAGGAGGTGGCCAGCGTAGCGTGGTTGTTTTTCTTTATATGCATGCGGCTACACACATCCTTCTCTTCCTCTTTCCGCCCTCCTCCGCTCCATTTCTCTCCTCGCCTCTCCTCCGTCATCTTTTCTCTGATCCCCTCTGTTGGCCGGCGGCATCGCCATGACAGGTCCACTTGTTTTGCTAAAGGGGGTAACTCTTAACCTTACTGTATCGAACAGAATTTGTACTCTTGACCTGCGTATCAACAGCAACATGTATGAACCACCCAGCCTCTTTGCAGCTACAATTGAGGTCACTCTTGCAGTAAACCCTCAAGGGAAACTCTACAATTCGGCCAAGGCCCAGCAATGCAGTTCTTTGCTGATGTCTGCAGATTGTACATCAAGCCTTAGCTGGTGGCTTTCACGTTTGAGTTCATTGCTCGCTCTCTTTGATCAATCACCTAGACTACTGATGAGTGACAGAAGGGCCTGGCAGCATGCAAACAAAGTTTCTTTGTACACCTTTTGCCTTGATTGAAAGGCAACCACCATGTCTGTAACACTTGAGAGTATCTTCTTCTTGGGTCACAGGTTGATGCAGCTCTGGACCTGAGCCATACACAGAACATCGGTCGCATGATTAAGGCCCACTTCCCACATTCTCAGGTGTGTACAAAACTACTTCCCTTCGCTTCTATGCCAATTCCAAGCTGCTATAGCTGTGTATCGTCTTGCCGTTATGAAAATATATGTAATGGATCCTCTCATAATATATGTAATGGATCCTCCCATACCTCATGTATTGCCATCCAATTCACATAAACTCCGTAGCATGTGATGTGAAGCGAGGAACGACAGACATGAATGGATTTTACAATCGTCCGGACTGGATTTGCTCTCTGGTGACTAGTATGGGAAAGGGTTTGGTCGTTTTGGGGGATTCTGGTAATCGCTAGGTGCAGCAATGGTGGTCACCCAGAGGGTTGGGGGGCTCGCTGGCGAGGCAGGGAGGGGTCAAGTGCAGGGAGTGGGGGGATCACCTCGTGGACGTCCAACAGGGAATGTGTGCTCAGGTTTCAAACTCCCCTAATAGGGCCATTGGTCAAAATGGAGATTTAATATTCAATTAATTGAGTTTAATTTTGTTGAACGAAATTGAACTCTCCAGATTCAGCCCCAAAACTACCCAATATCCTTTCCTAAGGGTCGGGCGTGCTGAAGACACATGGACCCTCCGGAGGAGATTTCGGGTTTAGGGTTTAGGGCCGAATCTGGAGAGTTCCATTCAGTATATATAATATTATTAAATATGCAATCTCCGCTTTTTGACGAAATGACTCCTCATACGGGGGACAGTTGTATTGTTGTCCTACCCTATTTTCTTCTCTCTTACCTCACCTCACTCCAGCTACCTGTATCTACACCTCACCTGCAATCCCTATCTACCCGATAATGTATCCAGCAAGCAACTACTACAGGTAGTACAGGATGCAAGACTAGGGATACGCACAGTCTTATGCAAGAAATCGCAGTTTCCCAGTGGGGCTGTACACTAAGTGTTTGGCTTTATAGTTCGGGACTTGATCCCGTGACCTGTAATTTGTATGTTTTGTTTGTTAGTTTTGAGCCCTATGGGACTTGATCCCTAAGTCTGTCACTACTAGTCTCTGTTTGGTAGCCTTAGGCCATTCGGCCTTTTCCTTTTGCCTTGTCATAGGTCTAGGTCCCCTTTCCCCCCTGTTTCCATCTAGATGCAGATGAGTATTGGCTTGTGGCCTTTGGAGTCCGTCGTAGGTCTAGGCAGAGGGTAGAAGTAGCGGGCAGGAAATTTGGTTTGGGGCTTTTCACGTTTTGTTGGCTGGGAAAACTCTGCCCGTCCGTTGCTGGAGTGCTGCTGCTCTATTTTGGGCGAGGGCATCTTCTTCCGCGAAGCCCAGCCATAGCTGAGGTTGGGAAATGAAGTTGAAGATAGCACTGCTGCTATTTCGCAGCTCTGCTTGGGAGCTTCCACAGGACTGTGTTGTTGGGTTTGGGTGCTGCCATCTTCCACTTGGCATCCATATCTGCTGTTCCTCCTCTCGAGGAACTATGTCTTCTTCGAAGTGCTGGATCGGTTGTCTCCTGCTTCATCAGGACTTCCAGCGCTGCACTTCCGTGCGGGTGCTGAGCTGGCGCTGTAATCATTGGGGTTGCTGGTTCAGATTGGCACGTTGTGACAGCTGTGGGGTTACTGCTGCTGCAGAGCCATAGCCAGGGGTATGAGGTGGCGAGGAGGAAGAAGAAGACTCCTGCATACTTCGTTGAACACTGGTTTCTGGTTGTTCGGGGTTGTTGTAAACGCGGTTGTGATTCTTGGAACAAGTACTCTGGATTGATTGGAGGAGGAGGGGGGATTACAGAATTGAAATTCGCTTTTCAATTCTCTGTGTGATTTGAGCTTCCGCTGTGCATATTCTCTCTCCGGTTTTGTGTGGATTTGCCTCCTCCGAGTCTACTCTGTAATTGCATGCGTGTATGGGAACGTGTGAATTCATTGTGGATGGAAGTTCAATCGGGTACATAACACTTAAATACGCTGGGTAAGCCTTGAGCTATCCTAAAGTTATGGGTCTATGCCTACCTACCTAACTCTGCTCTGTGCGGGGGAGCAGCACCCAAGCTTCTAAAACCTGGCGCGGGCCAGCTCAGTTGGTTGAGTGCGTAAGTGGCACCCAGGAGGTCGTGGGTTCGATACCCAACGTCATCCTTTCGATTCTCGTGACCTCCCAGGAGTATGCTTCGGGTTCACCAGCGGAGATTGTTGGCTTCAGTCTCCTGGCAAGTTGATGAAATGACTTGTAGTTTTTTTGCCGCCTTGATTTTCTTTGCATTTTTCCTGGCTTTTCTGTGGTGATCTCCAGGGTTTGCCCCTGGGTTTTGGTTATCAGCATGGCTGGGGCTGCCCTCGCCGCGGATCACTAGCTGGGGATGACCAACCCTCGTGCCCCCTGTCATTTCAGCAGTGCATACATGTTCCTTTCGACATATTCTTTGAATGGTAATTGAGAGCTGTTAAGGGTGGCCAGCAAATGACGCTGACATTTTCGTTTGTGTTCGTCTTTTGGCTGTTTTATGGTTTTCCTTGCCTCTTCTTAATCTCGCAGTTTGTCGTTGTGTCCTTGAAGGAGGGCATGTTCAACAATGCCAATGTCATTTTCCGAACGAAGTTCGTGGATGGTCTGTCAACTGTCACAAGAACGGTTCCAGCCCGAAAATAAGTAAGGACCGATACCGGCGATACGTGCAATAAACTCCCTAAACCGTCCCCACATCTTTGATTACATCGCCCGCCCCTTCACTCCCCCCCCTGTGCACCCCCCCCGGTGCACCCCCCTCTGTGCCCCTGGCCCTGCCTCTCTCTCTCTCTCTCTCTCTCTCTCTCTCTCTCTCTCTCTCTCTCTCTCTCTCTCTCTCTCTCTCTCTCTCTCTCTCNCTCTCTCTCTCTCTCTCTCTCTCTCTCTCTCTCTCTCTCTCTCTCTCTCTCTCTCTCTCACACACACACACACACACACACACACACACACAGGTGATACTGATCAGTGAGAGGCAGAGCCCTTGAGCCACTGATGCACTGCGGGTGTTTTCGAAGAAGAAGGCTGGCTATGGCCTGTGGCAGACCTTCCAAAGCTACGATGCCAGGTGAGTGGACGCCTCCACTACGCTCCGACCTCTCCCAGCACTACTCTGCCCTACTCTACCTCCTCTACCACTAGGCTGCTCCTCCACTCCCACTCGCGGCCTGGTGGCACATGTATAACCGAGCCATCCCTCTCCAAAGTACTACTGGGGCGGCCACCACACGACCTGGCCTCTCTCCTGGGCTGTCCGATCGGCCAAGGATCTGGCGGTCCAGATAAGAGGCCAGGTGGCCAAAGTAAATGCACAGACCCAAAACGAGTGGCCTGGATTCCGGCCAAAGTCCACGCCCTCCGTTGCTGTCAACAACAGGGTGTGGACTGAAAGCTGGCCTGGGCACAAATACAGACATAGGCCCAGCCATAAACAGTTAAGCTGGGCCAAAACGTGAAACGGCATCTGCCAGGGGACGAACCTAGGCCTGTTCGGACGAATACTGAAACAACAGAATCTAAACCAGGACAAAACGAACTGGCACAAAACAAAACCGTGCTGACATGAAGAAAAGACGCAGCAATTAAAAGCAAAGCGAAGTTGAGAAAACTGATTTCAGAACAAACAAAAATACCCACACGCGTGTGGGAACGAACTCACCAGGGGGCCTTCTCATGGCTGAGACCCTCTCTGCCAGCCGAACGCCTGGAAAGGGCCTAGGCGGCTGAGGGGCCTGCGCAAGGGATGTCCGGCCCCCCACGTCTGGTGCAGGAGGCCCCAGCATGCCACATACGGACACACCACGAGGATCATTAAGAGAAGAGACAAAGTGTAAGCTGAAGCTCGAAGGAAAAATGAACCGGAGTATACTTCCCTCTTTTCCTCCGTTCATAGTGTGCAAGTGGGCCGTTAAGGCACTTGGGGATGTGGGCAGCTCGTGCTCAACCACAATCAACGTGGTGTGCCTTGTACGTGAGAGGCACAGTAAAAGGGGAGCCAAAGGGGTACCCCAAAGAAAGCCAAAGTAAAGATAGTCAAGAAAGGGATACGACAGATCTGTTCTGCTTAATGTTGCTTGCTATAGACGAGTATAGACTAGTATAGAGCTAAAACTGATTCATCGCTGGAGTTGCTCATCTCAAGTGCACTTCATTGTGTGCAATAGAGGTAAAGCTGCTTCGATTTCGGATTTACTCATCTGGTGGGAACAGGGGCTGTTTTCATGACAATCTACACAACGCACATCAGTACCGTCTTCAGCCGAATAGAACGGCCGGTCATAATACCTGTGTTTTGGGCAACTTTCAGACCAGATGCAGCAATAATGACCGGGCGTTTTATTCGGGTGAAGACGGTAGTTTTTCAGACTCAGTGCCAATCTTTTTTTTTTTTTTTTTCTATAAAAATACAGCTGTCTTCTCCTTATATGGGGGACGAGCTGTATTTGCTAGCCTATTTTCTTCGCTCAAATTTTGTAACTACCTCGTCCTTAACTACCTACCTACCATTGTCTACTAGTCCGACCAGAATCCCTACCTTAATCCAGCAATGGGAAGCAAGCTATTCCACTGCTTCAGGACGAGATTGGAGCTAGACACTAGGTCCAGGGTCTAAGACTACCTTACATTTACTTTACCAGAGCCAAGTTATCTTAAGGTTATGGGTCTACGTCTACCTATCTCTGCTCTGTGCGGGGAGCAGTACCCACGCTCCTAAGAGTCCTACCACCTGGTGTGGGCTGGTACAGACAACCAGCCAGGAGGCCCAAGCCAACAATCTCTGTTGGTGACCCCGAAGCATCTCCCAGGAGGACGTGGGGATCGAAAGGACGACGCTGGGTATCGAACCCGCGACCTCCCGAGTGCCACTTCCGTGCTCGACCAACTGACCTAGCCCGCTTGGGCAGACTCGCTGCCATTCTTCTCCGGGTTGTTGTGAGTAAACCCAACCACTTTTCGCAGGGGTATCTTTAACTCTGGGTGATATGGTGAGTCTGATGAGTCCTGCCCATCAGTCGTATCCTTCGCAGACTGTTGGGGGTTCAAACTCCTGATGAGGCAGTTAAAGTCAGATGAAACAGTGTGGCACGGTCATGCATTTTTTTTTTGTGGAGTTGTGTATAGCGAACGTGACAACACACACCGCTAAGCAGGAGGATGTAACTCTTGTGAGTAGACCTCAGCAGGGCATACTCACACTATCACTTTGCCTAACTTATCCTGCACATGATTGCAGTCAGATACATCCATCCAGGCCGTAATCGGGAAAGTGCTACTCAGGAGGTCATGGGTCCGATACCCAGTGTCGTCCTTTCGATCCCCTCAGCCTCTTGGGGTATGCTTCGGGTTCACCAGCGGCGACTGTTGGCTTAGGCCTCCCGGCTGGTTGTGGAAGTAATCGATTCTTTCCAGCCCGCGGGTACTGCTCCCCACACAGAGCAGAGATAGGTTGAGGTAGACCCATAACCTTAGGATAGCCCCGCTTTGCCCCGTAAATTTCAGCTTCCTGCCTCTCAGATAATTGTAGGTGGTTCCTAGCTGGTAGACTTTGGGGGTTAGGGCCAGATCCCACTGGCAAAGAGGATTGGAATAAGGACGTGTTCCAGGAAGAGATGCAGAAAAGCAGATCAATTACAGTTTTTTGCACCTCACCACAAACACGTCCAGATTCAGACACTTATTCCAATTGGTTTTGCCAGTGGGATCTCGCCCTTAGTGTAATTCACCTGTTTCTTCTTCAGGGATTGTTGTGGCCCATTAGGTAGGTAGGTAGCTAGGGTGCCATAGACACAAGATTGAGAGAAGAAAATAGCGTAGCAGAAAATACACCTTGTCACCCATATATATGAGGAGAAGACACTTGTTTTTTTTCCTTTCTTTTTTAAACAAACAAAATAAAAGATCCTCTGTTTTTTCTCTAGCAAATCCTTGTTTTTTCAAAGCATCCTGTATTTCAGCAGATAAAGGTCGATCAAAACCTTGTGTTTATTTTTGCCAAACGTTGTCTCCACAAGGCCCCTTCAAGAATCCATGCTTAAGCCCTTCGGTGCCTTTCCCATATATTGGCCAGGGGGGGACATAGAGTAGAAGCATTTCTAGTCAGATGAATTTGGGCGCTCCCAAGCGACCTGTGAATTCATGCTACTGTTGGTCAGGTCGAGACTACTCTCGGCTGCTGTGGCATTGGCAGTGCTGGAAGATGGAATTCTTGTAAGAAGCCTCATGTAGCTTCCCTGTGTCGAGCGTAGGGTTTAGGGTTCTGTGGTGTCGCGATTAGGGTTTAGCGTTCTCTAGTGTCGGGTTTAGGGTTTAGGGTTTAGGGTTTAGAGCTCTCTGGTGTCAGGTTTAGGGTTTAGGGTTTAGAGCTCCCTGGTGTCAGGTTTAGGGTTTAGGTTTCCGTTGTGTCGGGCTTAGGGTTTAGGCTATTTTCTGAATGATTTGATTGTTTTGTGGATTAATATTTAGAAATAATATGTGACCATTTTGAATGAATTATTGACGATATATACTCAATGAAATTACAAGCTCAAAAAAAGAAAAGAGCCCGGAATTTGGGCTCCTCTCGGAGAGCGCAGAAAAACCCCACCGCCAATTTTTATTTTATTTTATTTTCAATTTTTTCCCATGCCCGGGTGACCGGCTAGTCATGAAAATCTTCCTAGATGAGCACATCATAAGCCCCGTTCATTCTGAGGGGTAGCAGTCAGGATGCTTATCACCTGCAAGCATGTGCAAGGAAAATGAGCAATAGCGAAATGACAGAAATCCAGAATGCAAAATCACATTGAAACCCAGAAAGTCCAACGGTATCCAGAAAGCATAAATGCGCGCCTACGAAGAAATAAAGCACTGAATCCAAATGTCAATGAGAGCATACTCTCGCCACCACCAACATATGTATCCAGAGCATGGCAGCGATCCGGACCTCCGGACAGGGATCCGGACCGTCCGGTGTCTGGTGTTTGGTGAACGTGTCCGTATCCCGGTCCGGATTCCAGACCCTTTGGCCAACGGCCAAAATTTTTCTTGGCTGTCCAGCAGGGTTGCACCCGCCTACCGTCGGCGGGCCTCGACCGGTCGGGCGCCGACCAGCCGACCGGCCGATCGGTCGGCGGGCGACCGATTGGCGGGGTCGGGCAGTTTCGCGCGGCGGCGCGCCCCGCCCGGTAGGCCCACTTTTCGGCAGCGGGGCGGTACCGCCGGCGGTCGGCTTGTTGGGGGTCGGCCTGGGAGGCCGCCGACCGTGCTCACCGACTTTTCCACGGTTGGTGGCCTTCATAAGAGTGTCACTGCCCACACTCTCCTCAGTCTTCTGCTGTGGCATTCTTCGCGCCGCCCGGGAAAGTGAGGAGAGTGCAGGCAGCTTAGAGATCGCAGGGAGATGAGGCCATGGTGGGGCTGCAGCTTCGACAGTTGTGAAAACTTCGTGACTGCGCATCGTGAAACAGTGGTTGAGCCAGATAAGAAGAGAGAAGAGGTTCTTCTTCTTCGTGTTCTTCCACATTCGAGAAATTTGTGAGATCTTCTTCTTCTTCTTCTTCTTCTTCTTCTTCTTCTTCTTCTTCTTCTTCTCTTCTCTATTAGAAAAATCGCACATTGGCAAGTTTGCCCTAATCTTCTTCTTCTTCTTCTTCTTCTTCTTCTTCTTCTTCTTCTTCTTCTTCTTCTACTCTTTTCTATTAGAAAAATCGCACATTGGCAAGTTTGCCCTAATCTGTTTTTTCTTCTTCTTCTTCTTCTTCTTCTTCTTCTACTACTCTTTGAATTTCGAAAAATCGCACATTGTCAAGTTTGCCCTAATTTCTTCCTTTTTTTTTTTCTTTTCTTCTTCTTCTTCTTCTTCTTCTTCTTCTTCTTCTTCTTCTTCTTCTTCGTCTTCTTCTATTTCTTCTCTCCGTCATCATCATCTTCTTCTTCTTCTTCTTCTCTCCTCCTCCTCCTCCTCCTCCTCCTTCTTCTTCTTCTTCTTCTTCTTCTTCTTCTTCTTCTTCTTCTTCTTCGTCGTCGTCTTCTTCCTCTTTTTCTTCTTCTCTCCATCTTCTTCTTCTTCTTGTTCTTCCTCCTCCCACCTCCGATTTTTTTTTTTCCGGAAATTTGTCGGACAGCGGGCACTCACCTCCCTCCACTTCTACTTCTCCCTCTTCTTCTTCTTCTTCTTCTCTCCTTCTTCTTTTCTTCTTCTTCTTCTTCTTCTTCTTCTTCTTCTTCTTCTTCTTCTTCTTCTTCTTCTTCTTCTTCTTNTTCTTCTTCTTCTTCTTCTTCTTCTTCTTCTTCTTCTTCTTCTTCTTCTTCTTCTTCTTCTTCTTCTTCTCTCCTTTTTCTTCTTCCTCTTCTTCTTCTTCGTCTTCTTCTTCTTCTCTCCATCTTCTTCTTCTTCGTCTTCTTCTTCTTCTCTCCATCTTCTTCTTCTTCTTCCTCCTCCCACCTTCGATTTTTTTATTTTATTTTTCCGAAAATTCGTCGGACAGCGGGCACTCACCTCCCTCCACTTCTACTTCTCCCTCTTCTTCTCCTTCTTCTTCTTCTTCTCCATCTTCTCTTCTTCCTCTTCTTCTTCTTCTNCTTCTCCCTCTTCTTCTCCTTCTTCTTCTTCTTCTCCATCTTCTCTTCTTCCTCTTCTTCTTCTTCTTCTTCTTCTTCTTCTTCTTCTTATTCTTCTTCTTCCCCATCTTCTCTCCATCCTCTTCTTCCTCATCTCCATCTTCTCTCCATCACCCACCTCTGATTTTTTTTATTTTTTTTTTTCGGAAATTCGTCGTGCAGCGGGCACTCACCTCCCTCCACTTCTACTACTCCCTCTTCTTCTCCATCTTCTTCTTCTCCTCCCAAACCAACCATCCACCTCCGGTGCGACGACCATGGCGGCCAATCGAGTATCGTTCGTGCCTGAGACTGGTGCAGAAAGAGAAAGGACGCTCAGCCAGTCGGAACTTTGGAAATGGGCGGACAGAGGCCAGAAGGTGACGACCGGCACATCACATAGCTCGTGGAGGTTGCGTTGCAGGCTCTGCAACAAAGAGTTCGTCGGCACGCTGACCAAAGTCGTGAAACCCCACACCCAACCGTCGGTCACTGCCCGCTGTCCGCGTACCACCGGTGAGATTCTTGCTGTCATTCGGAGTAACCACCCGAAAGTGCCATTGGTCCCTATGTCACTGGCGAAATTGAACGACTACTACAAGGAACAGGGTCGTCCGCCGGTTGTTGTGGGTGCGCAGGATCTTGCTTCCAGTGATGTAGCTTGTGCGTCGGGGGAGGCCGGTACGTCGTCGGCAGGGGCAGACGGCGGGACACAGGTTCGACGGCGGGAGAAGGCAGTGCTGTGGGTTTCGATTCGACATCCGTTGCTGACAGGGGCGCTCGGGATTCCAGGGGGCCCGACATCCCGGAAGAGATCGCTGAGCACCTGCGGGGTCCTGTTCTGGCTGCAGCTCGCCCACCACAACCTCCATCGGGTGCACAGCAGTCGTCCATGACGAATTTCGTAGTGGATGAGCCTCAGAGGGAGTTCGACCAGGTGGTTGCTTCCTTGTTCTTTGAGAATGCCATCGCCTTCAACGCCGCGCGCTCGGACTCGTATAAGAACATGGAAAGGATCATGAACATGGCGGCGAGATCGAGGAAGATGCTACGGATGCCTGGACACAATTACCTGAGGACGAAGGCCCTGCCCGCGGACTACAAAGACGTGGACAAGGATCTAGACAAGATCCGTGAGCCATGGGATGTCACGGGCCTCACCTTGATGACCGACGGCACAACAACGACCAGCAACAGGCCGGTCGTTAGCTTCATTCCAACCGACGATTCGGGGGCTGTCATGGTGCGTAGCGTGGACATGGAGGAGAAGGACAAGTCGGCTCCGGCTTTGGCAAGGATGTGGGTGGAGGTGATATTGGAGTTAGGGGTGCAAAGGGTGAACGCGATCTGCACGGACTCGGCACATGTCAACATTTCCGTGAAGAAGATATTGGAAAAGCACGACGACCCTGCGATCAGGAGCATTCCATGGGTGTCGTGCGCATGCCACGTGTGCAACCTTCTCATGTGTGACATTGCTTCGGTGCCATGGATCGGAGAGGCGATTCTGCAAGGCAGGGAGATCACAACCTTCATCAAGAGACATCAGCGGGCGTTGGCGATGTTCCGTAAGAGCGGGAGAGAGTACAGGACACAGTTGGGCATCAAAGAAGGGAGGCCGTTGGAGTTGATTCAGCCAGGAGAGACTAGATTCGGCACAAACTTCCTCGTGCTGCAGCGACTTCGAGAGTGTGAGCCGGTGTTGCTATCGACTGTTTCAAACCCGCAGTGGGATGACTCTCCATGGGACAGGGCAGCAGCGACAAGGGCGCGGACGTGCAAGGAGCTCATAAGAGACCCGGCTTGGTGGTCGACCGGGCATGCACCGTGCTTGAGCCAGTGTATGCCCTTATGAAGAACATGGACAGAGATGGGAGGATGGGTATGCAGGTGTGGTCTTTGGGGATCACGTTGGAGAAGAGAATGGTCGTGATACCGATGGACTGCGAGACAAGGGGCATCGTGATGACGAAGGTCAAAGACCGTGTCCGAATGATGGCTCTGCCTGTGCATGCAGCGGCATGGATGTTGCACCCGCTACACAGATCGCCTCGACTCTTCAACGACTTGGCGTCCGAAGAGATTGCGAACACTCTGACTCACTTCGCTTCGGTTCATGCGAAGACCTCGAAGGAGTACAAAGAGTGCTGGAACTCCCTGAAGAGTTTTCATCACATGCATCCAGAGTGGATTAGCCCGAACTCCGAGGAGGCTTTGACGGGCGGTCACGTGTCCATGGTGCAATGGTGGTTGACGTACGGGAAAAGGCACCCAACCCTGACGAAGATCGCCGTCAAAGTGCTGAGCATGTGGACCACTGCCTCTCCATGTGAGAGGAATTGGTCCACATTTGATCTCGTCCACACCAAGAGGAGGAATCTCTTGAGCCCGGAGAACTTGGAGATGCTCGTCTTCATCCACTGGAACAAGAAGTTGTTGCGCATGTCGAAGGCGAAGATGGGATTCGTGAACACCGAGCGGCTGGAGAGGGAGACACCCGAGGACGAGGCACCATTCGATGGCTTCATGCGAGAAGGGGAGTACGACCCCGTGGAGGTGCGTAGGAGGGCAGCCAACTGGTCGAGGGGCACAGATCGAGAACCACGCGATTCGACGCGCGGAAGATTCTGGAGGAGAGGGAGGACGACGGGGCATGGCTACTTGATGTTTCGTACCGCCCTCGCCGTCTCGCGGACGATGGGCGTGGGAAGACAGTCGTCGCTGATTACGACGAGGAGGACGACGGTCGCGACAGCGACGGTGACGCGGAGTTGCTCGACGTGCATCTAACGGACAAGCGGCTCACTCGGCGGTTGGGCGGTGGGTCTTGCTCCGCGACGGATGTCGCTATCACACCACAGGTTGGCCCTGTGTTCGGTGGGGCCCCAGGGGCCTCTTCTGTGTCATTGGCCGACGACACTGGTTGCCGTGCACGGCTACGCACCTCCGCGTCCGGTGGTGTATCTTCGGTTCAGGGCACCAGCACACCCTCCGACGCGCAGCACACCCCTCTTCCACAAGCCGCGGTGGAGGAGACGGCCGCATGCCAGGGGATGACAGACGGGGGATCGGGGGATGCTCACGTTGATAGTGCTGCGGCGAGGGTCGTTCGAGACTTTGGTGTGTCTGTGGACGCTCCCGTTCCCGGTCATGCGGAACATGAGGATGGACACATCGATGCGGGCAAGGATGACGAGCTTCATGACGCAGCGGAGGACAGCCAGTCTGCCGGCGGAAAATGCATTCTCCACTGCGGACCCTGGGTTGCCGCTGGGGAGAGATTCGCCTCCCTGTTGCACCACGTCGCACCAATTGCTGCAAGAGGCTCGAAGACGGACTTCGAGAAACATCTGGCTGCTATGTCCCCCATGAGGAGTGATTCCGGGGGGCAGACTCCTGATTGGGCCAGATTCACAGGACCGACTCCTCCCGCTTTGCTGTTGAGCAAGGACATTCCCACAGACGCCGGGGACGGGTCGCGGGGCATGGTGGACAGGAGGAGGGCCGAAGTGGACGAGGATAGAGGACTCGACCGCCCGCAAGCTGCAGCCACACAATGTGAGGCAGTGTCACCGCCCGAAATTGACGCCAGCAAGGTGCGTCAAGTCCGGAGTTTGGCAGGCAGAAAGAAAGGAGGGAAGAACAAGCCGAAGGAGCCAGCTGGACCGGCCGGACGAGGGGGACGAGGCGGGCCATGCAAGACAGTCACACCTCCGACGTCCTTGCAAGAAAAGCGTGCGGTTGTTCAGCAGGCGAAGAAGAGGAAGGCACAAAAAGTTTCAAAGAAAGTCGCTGCAGCCTCCCAGTCGCCGAGAAGAAATCCGAAGAGGAGGAGGACGTGCGTGCAAGAGGACGACGACTCCGAAAGCAACAGCGCTTCGTCCTCGAGTGACACGTCATCGTCGAATGACGCATCATCGTCATGTGACGCGTCGTCATCGTCTGACACGTCGTCGTCGACTGCCACGAGCAGCAGCAGCGAATGAGAGAGAGAGGGAGAGAGAGAGAGAGGGAACTGTTCTTTTTCTCCTTCTTCTTCGCCTTCTACTCCTCCCTCGTCTCCCGCTTCGTCATCATCTGCTTCTACCTTCTCATTTCTTTCGTTCATGTCTGAGTCCGGACTCTGTTTTCGCTGACTTCATGGACGTTGTGGGTAGTGAGACTGATATGGAGTGTAACAAGTGTGGCTTCTCTGCAATCGCAGCGTTCAATGCACGGACTTGTTGTGTCTTCTTCTTTTTCTTTTTTTTCTCGCCGCGTCCGCTGTCCGCGAAACTGTGAAACAGTCACCTACTTCGACCCCTTTTCAGCCCTCGAACAGCCCCCCGAACCCCTTAACTGCTAAACCCCTAAACCCCTAAACCCCCTGAAGACCCCCGCCCCATGCTGTGAATCTGTGAAACAGTCACCTGCTTCGACCCCGTTTCGGCCCTCGAACAGCCCCCTGAAACCCTGAACTGCTAAACCCCTAAACCCCC